ATACTAATGCATGAAAATCCTAACCTCAAAAAAATCACCCTTTATAAGATATTCGGCTAAAAATTTTTCGTTGCACATTTCTTTATCTTCTAGGATCCTGCCATTACTAAACGCCTCAGCAAAGGCATGCTCTGTGAAGAGAGTGTTATGAATAGCGATGCATATAAAAACTTGTTCGGCGGCAGACTAAGACAGCTGGCGCTCAATGCAGCGAATTGGCCTGGCTTTGAAAAGATCTCACAAAAGCTGCTCAATTTTTATGATAATTTCAACGCGATATGCGCGCGTTTGGCCGAATATCGCCAAGGCGATCGTATTATTGTGATGAATCATGGCGACCTATGGACCACAAACTTCATGTATGCCTATGACGATTCCATGCAGCCGCATAAGCCGACGCGCGCTGTGTTTGTAAGTTTTCATTAAAAAATTACACTTGCGTTTTTCTTTTATTTTCCCTGTCTATTTAAATAATTTCAGGTGGACTTTCAGCTAAACTTCTATGGCAGCCCTGCGTGTGATCTGAATTTTCTATTTAATACAAGCATACGTCTGGAGTTGCTCCGAGATCGACGCGAAGATTTAATAAATGTTTACTTTAAAACATTCACGGATACACTAGAGTTTCTTAATCACGACAACATACCGACTCTGGAGGATCTGAGGTATGAGTTGCGCGCACGCGAACTTTATGGTCTGTTCGCATTGTTTGGTTTCCTGCCAATGGTTACTCTGCCGAGGGAATTGTCCACGGACAACAGTATTGAAAAAATGATGGATGAGAACTTTGCTCGGCAAAAGTTCGAGATGGTTTTTGCGCAAGAACGTTTACAAGCGCAAGTTAAATACGCTCTACGGCGTTTGGATGATTTNGATTTTTTAAAAAGGAAATACATTTTTTTAATTCTCATATAATATCTTTTAATAAATACAATAGTTAAAATCAGGGTTGGGCAAACTGCACTCAATCGAAATTTTCACTACCACTGGGGCTTTCATTTCATATTTAATAACCATTTCCTTACAACAGGTTTGTTCAAAAATTTCTAACCACTAACCATATAATAATATAATAATAGATTGGCGCTTGCACAAATGTTAGTGTTTGGCCGAGCTTCTCCTCTGATTTGTGGTGTGCGCCTTG